AGCCTTTCCTTCATCAAATTGACCATCATTAGTGATAGATGCGCCAGCGTCATCTCCAGCGTCCACGTCCATGGCCTCGTCTGTGAAACGGACCTTCTTGACTCCTGGCTTGTCACGCTGATCACGCAACTGTGCCTCCAGCTTCTTGATGGTGTCCTGCGCTGCTTGGAGCTGCAGCTGAGTCTGGTTCCACGGGGCCGTCTTGTCGGCCGAAGGACCAGCACGGACACTGGGAGACTTGTGCTCTTTGTAGCTGTGGAAGCACGCACCTTTTGACCTTCTGCACTGGTAGCAGACGTCCCGATCTGGTTTGTTGACAAACTTCTCTCTCGTGCGCTGGTGAATGCAGAACCTGCAGAACCATGTCCTCTGATCTGCAGCTGCGCCACCAGAGCGGCCAGGCGCCATGGCTGGGCCCGTGCGAAAAGCACACTGCGCGCCGTCCTGGGCCACCTTCGCAGCCAGGCTCGCGAACCCCCAGCCCTTCTGAAGTGTTGGGATCCGCAAGCACAAATTGCTTGTGCCAGAAGGGCTAGCTTGAGCCAAAATGGCTTGAGCCAAAATGGCTACGGAGGGATGAGAGAGGAGGAGGAGGAGGAGGAGGAGGAGGAGGAGGAGGAGGAGGAGGAGGAGGAGGAGGAGGAGGAGGAGGAGGAGGAGGAGGAGGAGGAGGAGGAGGAGGAGGAGGAGGAGGAGGAGGAGGAGGAGGAGTGGGAGGAGGGGGAGGAGGAGGGAGGAGGAGGAAAAAGAAGCGGAAGAAGATGATGATGGTGATGCTGGTGACGATGATGATGCTGATGATGATGAGGAGGAGGAGGAAGAGGAGGAGGAGGAGGAGGAGGAGGACGATGAAGAGGAGGTGGGGGGGGGCGGGACCAGGGTAAACCCAAGACCCATGAACGATGCTGCATGAAAGCCTTCCCTCCAGGTTCCCTCTTCACGGATCCCTGCAAGGATGCATTTTCACTGGGGAACGTGTCTCGTTGGAAGGCAACTGCCTGAAAATCCTGAACCATGCTAGAACACCAGCCCTAGGACTTCAACGCCGCGAGTCAAAGTACAATTGCGCCCTGGCGATCCTGAATCGTGCCCGAACTATTTCTCGGATTTCAACACAGCGAATCGACGTGACTGTTGCGCCCAGAGAGTCTTACATCGTGTCAAACTCGTTTTCTTGGTAAGTCAACCATGAGAACATTGACAACAGCTGCGAACTCTTTAAACGACGGTACGCGGCGCTCAAGCGAGAACAACATTCGAAAAAACGAACCGCCCTCCGGTCGTGAAGCTCCTGCAAACCTGTAAAACAAAAGTGCGCGGTGCTCAGGCGAGCGCCACATTTTGAGAAGAAGCCGTCTCCATCCGTGAAACTCTTGCAAACATGATAAACAAATGTGCGCGGCGCTAGGGCGAGAACCACGCTTTGAAAACCACCCGCCCTCCATCCGCGAAACTCGTGCAAGCTGAGAAGACGGATATGATTAGCGCTAGAAGCGAGAACCGCATTTTGAAAACCACCCGCCCTCCATCCGTAAAACTGTTGAGCATTCTGAGGGTCATAACCGGTGAGAAAGTCTCAAGTAAAATGCCCGGCCCGCCCTACCAACACGTCTCGGGGTGCGACAGGGAAGGATCAACTAATTACAAGGAAAAGGGATGGAGGCAGGAAGGGGAAAGGAGGAGAGGAAGGAAGAGCAGAGGAAGCAGGAGGAGGAGGAGGAGCGGAGGGAGGAGGAGGAGGAGGAGGAGGAGGAGGAAGATGAGGAGGAGGAGGAGGAAGATGAGGAGGAGAAGAAGAAGAAGGAGGACGAGGAGGAGGGGGAGGAGGAGGAGGAGGAGGAGGAGGAGAGGGAAGAGGCAGGGAGGATAAGGATGACGAAGAGGAGGTGGACAGGAGGAGGGCGCACTGAAGGCGAGGCAGAGGGGAGGCATGGGGGGTTATTCGCCCACCGGCCGGGGCGAACGCGGGCCACACGTTCGACCACGTCCCTGCTGGCACTGTGGGCCGCCTGGCCCTCCCCGGGTGCCTCTGTCTCGGGACGGGCCGCCCGTTCTCCGGCGCGTCGTGCGCGTGCGCGCCAGGACACGGCTCGCGGGCACTCCCTCGCACCCGGCCGTGGGCCCGAACGTCTCCGCACGTCGTCTGCTCTTGCCGCGGGCGGCGGGTGCCGGGCGGGCAGCTGAGCCGCCAGGGGGGGGGGGAAGCACAGCGGCGCTCGTCCCGCGCGGGGTCGGGGCAAGCAGCCCGAGGGGAGGGCACGAGGGAGGGGGGGGAGGAGGGGAGGAGGGCGAGGAGGGGGAGGGGGGGGTGCTGGAAGGGGGAGGCTGGAGGTGGAGGGGGGGGAGGCTGGATGGGGGAGCTGCAGACTGGAGGGCGAGGGGGAGGGGGTGAAGCGGGGGGGTGGAGGGGGCCTCGAGGGGGAGCTGCAGGATAGACAAATGTGGCGCGCCTTCGGCCCTCCTGGGTTTGGACAGGAACCGCACCGTTTCCGGCTCCACTCTGCTCCTCCGTTCTCGTCCCCCTCCTCCACGCGTCGGCGGGTTCTGATGTGCGTCGTTGTCGTCGTTCTTCGAACCTGTGGGTTAGAGGGAATGGAATGCAGAAGGGAAGGAAGAGGAGATGAAGGGGAAGGGAGAGGGGGCGAGGGGTTTCAGAGGAGGACCGTATGAGGGGGGAGAAATCATGGGAGGAGAGAGAAGGCGGGAGGTAAGCATAAATGGGGGATGGGGAGAGGGTGAGAGCGGGCAGGATGATCACGCAGGGGGTGAGAGGATGACAAGAGGGAGCAAGCGAAGGTGGAAGGAAGAGGGAGGAACAGGTGACGGGGAGAGGAAGGTGAGGAGCGGGCAAGGGAGAGGTGAGCGGAGGGGGGAGAGGGGAACGGAATGGGTATGGGAAAGTGGGAAGGTAAGGGACGGTGTATGGTGTACGGAACGGAGGAGGGATGAGCGTGCCTGCTATTTCCTCCTTGTTGCATGCTCCGGTGCCTAGCTTCGTGCAGCACCATGTCCTTGCAATATCTTTCAATCAATGCGCAATGAGTTTTCCCACCCTCCTGTTTCCTCGCTTCCCATGCGGACTGCCATAGCCAGATACATGAACAAGAACGTGCCTGCCCCATATTTTCCCTTTCCTCCTTGCCGTGCAGACAGCACTGACCAGGCGGAAGAGGCTTTGTTGTTTGCCCCATCTTCCTCGTCGTTCCTTTTTCCCGTTTCCCTGCAGCGTCGTCGCTTCTGTCCCTTCCCTACAGCCTTCTCCTCCACTGCGCCCGTCGCTTTCTCTCCTGTCCTAAAGCCTTTTCCTGAAGCGTGTCGGTACAAACCGCAACGGAACAACGTCGCCTCTGAGTCAAAGGGAAGCCCCTTCCCTTTCTTCCCTTCCCCGCCAGGGGGGGGGGTCCCGGGGGGGTCCCGGGGGGGGTCCTGGGTCAGATACGCCGCCCTCCCGGCGTCGCTTCTGTCCCTTCCCTACAGCCTTCTCCTCCACTGCGCCCGTCGCTTTCTCTCCTGTCCTAAAGCCTTTTCCTGAAACGTGTCGGTACAAACCGAAACGGAACAACGTCGCCTCTGAGTCAAAGGGAAGCCCCTTCCCTTTCTTCCCTTCCCCACCATGGGGGGGGGGGCCCGGGAGAGGTAGCGGGGGGGGTCCCGGGTCAGATACGCCGCCCTCCCGGCGTCGCTTCTGTCCCTTCCCTACAGCCTCCTCCTCCACTGCGCCCGTCGCTTTCTCTCCTGTCCTAAAACCTTTTCCTGAAGCGTGTCGGTACAAACCGAAACGGAACAACGTCGCCTCTGAGCCAAAGGGAAGCCCCTTCCCTTTCTTCCCTTCCCGCCAAGGGGGGGGGGAGGGGTCCCCAAACATCTTCCCACATGGCCGTCTCAAACCCCTCTCAGACATCTTTCCCTGCTCCTCCTCCACCGTTTTCGTCGTCCACGCCTGCTCCATCCTCTTCCTCCTCCTCCCCGTTCTCTCCCTTTTCCATTTCTCCTCCTCCTCCTCTTTCTCCTCCTCTTGCTCCTCCCCCCCCCTTTTCCTCCCCCCTTTTCCTCCTCCTCTTCCTCCTCCCCCCCCTCTCCCCCCCTTTGCCGTCGAGAGCCGATCCCTCCAGGGTCGGCGGCATAGGCCGTAAGGCCCGCGCAATAGACAGAGAAGCGGAGGGGGAGGGGAGAGAAGGTGTAAGGCGGATCGCAATACTCTCAAACCGCATTGACGATTGACGTCCAAAGCGGGGAACCGCGGACGATTTCTTTGAAACGGAAAGAGGGGGGAATGCTGAGGGAGGTGACAGGTAACATGGAGAAGGATCAAGGCATGGGAAGTCATGCTTTTATGGTTGCTTGTTCGCTGACGTTAAAGAGTAGACGCTCCATCAAGCCGATGATGGTGGTGCTGACGATGACGATGACGATGGCGAGTACTATGACTGAGACGACGACGAAGACAATGACGATAATAACAACGACGAGGATGATGATGCTGATGATGACGGTGATGAGTGATGATGACGCTGACGATTTTTCCTCGACGTCAGGACCAACATCTGATATCAGGATCTGGTGCGCAATGAAACAATATTTAAAGTGATCCGTCGCAGAGAGCCGACTGTCTCGTGTTGCCCCGTTTGGGCCAGACTGCCAGGGTGCTGCTCGGAGGGGCCTCCTGCGCAGCGCGTGCCAAGCAGCGTCGAAATGCTAGCTGAGATATTCGGCCGCTTCTTCTTCGGCGGTTGTATCATGCTCAAGCGGGGCCTCCCCCTCGCACTGCTCCTCTGGATGCGCTGGCACGGCAGGGGGGGAGTGGAGGCACGACGGAGGAGGGGGGGTATGTGGCCGGCCGTGACCGTGCCGCTGCTGGCAGGGAGGTCTTTGCCTCAAACGAAATTGACGCGGCGTTGAAACGCCTCCTCTCCGCTGTGGCCTGCATTGTGGCCTGCAGGCTCGCTCTGGCAGAAAAAGACGGGTTCACTGCTCGAGCGTCTCTAGCCTCCTCCTCGAGC